TTTCAAAATTAGGCCACATTTTCTGGATTATCTTAGTGGTTTAAATGTCTCATTTTTCACCTGATTTTGTCAATGTTATAGTTTTCTCTAGTTCCTGCTTCCTTCCCAATACTTGATTAACACTTGATTTGCATGTCTTTTGAAGATTAAGTCTTTTTCACTACAAATAAAGTTTTCCCTTTAGCGAACCATTCATAAGTGTAATTGTTGGGTAAAAGGATCATGAATGTCAAACTCCTCAACATTTAGAATCAGTTATCCCAAATGGATAGTTTAGTTACATCTCTTAACATATACTATTCAAATCCAGGTTGCAGTGTACAAGACTGGAGCTGTGTGTTCCGCTTTCCTTGCCAACATTGCTACATCTGATGCAAAAGTGACCTTCAATGGAAATTCATATCACCTTCCCGCATGGTCCGTGAGCATCTTACCAGACTGCAAGAGTGTAGTGCTTAATACTGCAAAGGTTTGCCTTGTCAGCTTTGAGATCAAAATAGATAGTTCAATTGAAGGAGGTTACTTTCAGAATGCATGTGATTGATCTATCTACACTTCAGACCTCTTTCATTTTCTAGTGCATGAAGTTGAATAACGAATAGTTATTTATGATTACAGATTAATTCTGCATCTGTGATTTCAAGCTTTAGAACTGAATCTTTAAAAGAAGAGGTTGGCTCGTTGGATGATTCTTACTCGGGCTGGAGTTGGATTAGTGAACCTATCGGTATTTCAAAGGCTGATTCATTCTCAAAATTTGGGTTACTGGAGCAAATAAATACAACTGGTGATAGAAGTGATTATCTGTGGTACTCATTAAGGTATATAATATATCTTCTAGGTTGAGAAAGTTTCTTCTGACTTGGAATTTTCTGTCTGACAGTAATGATTTTCATTGTTTTTTCTGCAGCATTGATCTTGATACTAGTACTCAAGCTGTCCTTCACATTGAATCCCTTGGTCATGCTCTTCGTGCTTTCATAAATGGGAAACTCGCAGGTATATTAAATTTAAATCAATCCTTCTTGTGAGTTCAATATCTTTTTATGCTTCTATATTATTGTTTAAATTCCCTGGTAGTATCTCGCTCCACCCATCCTTCTTGAAGTCAAAGCTTCTCTTCTAGAAAATGCTTTAAAATGAGGTAAACTATGTCTAGGTTGGCAAACATTATGTATTCTGGAGTCATTACATGACAAATAAGGAACATCCCTGTATCTCTATCTTCCTAGTATGTGTGGTTGAAAATCCAAAAACTTCTACACAAGTTTAAACATTTAAATGTATACTGCATAGATGTAATAACTCATGTTCTGTTGAATAATGTGTCAAGTGTTTAATGGAAATGTGATGCTTATTGAAGCTTATATTAAGAGTATTTAGTGGTATTCATGTGACTCTGTATCTGTGTAACTGCTAGAGTACTGTTAAGGAATTCTAAGAGTTATTTCAGTCTATAAAATACATTTACAAAAAAATTAAAAAAATATATAAATAAATAGAATTAACACTTAGGTCATTTCAATCTCCAAACTACCTTCCTTTTGTTCTAAATTTTAACTGCACAATTTTTCTTCCTCTGGACTACCTTCAACATTGATGTTCATCAAAGATTTTATGCATTCCTTCAAGCCAAAATCAGAATAATGACACCCAACCAATTATATAGCAGCCTTTAAAATTTCCTTTTATGTTTTGATCTCTCAACAACTTATAACTCATGTTATCCAACATTTCCTTCTCTCAGTTGTAAAATTTATTATATAAAAACTCATATACCAGCATCTCAATCGATTTCAAGGATGTAGCAAAATGAATTCTAGATTGATTAGAAATAAAGTAAGAACAGTTTCAAGGATGTAGCAAAATATTCAGTTCTTCATTTAAATGAAATATTTCATTATCTATCAACAATGACACTCATCTGTAACATTATGGAGAACTTTTTCAGGGAGTGGAATGGGGAACCATGAGAAAGCTAACGTCAAAGTAGACATCCCCATCACTCTAGTGGCTGGGAAGAACACAATTGATCTCTTGAGTTTAACTGTGGGACTTCAGGTTCTTCTTTTCTTGTAATATATTCATCTGTTAATCCTCCCAGTATTATTTCACTGTATCACCAAAACAGATCTCATTGCCACATCAATTAATGCAAACCTTATGCACATCAGAACTATGGAGCTTTTTTTGACACATGGGGTGCAGGGATCACTGGCCCTGTGATATTAAAAGGTTTGAAAAATGGCAGCTCTCTTGATCTGTCCTCCCATATGTGGACATATCAGGTTAGTCTCATGCTCTCAGCCTAAGTAAAGCCAATTTTTTTTTTCTCATTTTGAGGTTTTGGTTGGACCCATATATAGAATACACTGTCCATAATTTGTGTGAATTCAGATTGGTATTAAAGGTGAAGATTTAGGTCCATCTGGTGGCAGTTCTGGACAGTGGAATTCACAGTCTACCCTACCTGTACACCAACCCTTCATTTGGTACAAGGTAATCTTGAATAGAATATATAATCTACCGAAAAGTCTCTTTACTTTACTACAATTTGTTTCCTTTTGTTTATGGATTGTCCAATTTTGTGTTTACATTTGCATCTGATATCTCCATAATCACACACTTCATAGAAAATTAAGGCAATGCTACTGTATGACAAATGATTTTGCTGCTGCTAGCTAATGTATTAACTCATTCTATCAGATAAACTTCGTAGCTCCCTCTGGTAGCAATCCAGTTGCAATTGACTTCACGGGGATGGGAAAAGGTGAGGCTTGGGTGAATGGACAGAGCATTGGGCGATACTGGCCTACCTATGCCTCTCCAAGCGGTGGTTGTACCGATTCGTGCAATTATAGAGGGTCCTATCAAGCATCCAAATGCCTCCAGAACTGTGGAAAGCCATCACAGACATTGTAAGTGCTACATATTCTGCATGAGAGAAGTTGAAACTTGAAAGTAGCTCTTAATTGTTCAAATAAAGTAAATGCAACCCTGCTAGATACTTATTTGAGTACTAATCCCGCAGATACCATGTACCACGATCATGGTTACGACCTCAAGGCAACACACTAGTATTGTTTGAGGAAAGTGGAGGCAACCCTAAGCAAATCAGTTTTGCTACAAAACAGATAGGAAGCGTGTGTTATCATGTATCTGAATCTCACCCTCCACCTGTAGACTCCTGGAATTCTGATGCAGATTCAGGAAGAAAAGTAGGGCCTGTACTGTTACTAGAGTGCCCTTATCCTAATCAGGTGATCTCTTCCATTAAATTTGCTAGTTTTGGAACACCTCAGGGGACTTGTGGAAACTTCAAACATGGACGCTGCAGCAGCAATGAGACTCTATCCATTGTGCAGAAGGTGTTATCATGCTTTCTTGTTAAACAAGAAGTTCATATATGTATTTTGTGTTGCTAATTCTATTTTGTTTTTTGACTCGGATTATACTTACTCTAAAGAACATCTTCTAACAGGGCTGCATTGGATCAAGCAGTTGTAGAATTGAACTATCAATTAATACGTTTGGAGATCCATGTAAAGGAGTAGCAAAGAGTTTAGCTGTTGAAGCTTCTTGTGCATAAAATTGTTGCTAATTGGACTTGTCTGAATAGCACTCTGCACTTTCCCAAGTCTCTGACACTCGTTGAAGATGATTCCTCATTGGCCAATGTAAAAAGGCCTTCTGCTAGTAAACTAGGAAAAACGTGTCAAACACTCTTTTATTACAATGGCCTAAAAAATCCTATTTATGATTTCGATGGCAGATTGGTGTGGCATTCAATCATTAAAATGCATTATGCCTAATACATCAGTAGATAGTTGATGCAAAACCTCAATATCCTTAAAGCAAAAAAACATAAAGCAAGTGTCATGTATTGACAACTTTACTTTAAAAAAAATATTAAAGTCTAAACCAAAATTACTTTACACTGAAATCGTGTTAAGTAGACCATTTTACTTAAAAAAAAACATCCTAAAATTGTATTAACTCATGACATCTGAACTGAGGTTGTACTACATGATAGAACTACACACTCACATGTTTGTCTTCCTTTGCATGACTTCGTCAAATCTTATTATATTTTAAAGTTGACCTAATTACATACATTCAGAAGTAAATTGATCCCATTTAATAAAATAACAAGTAAAGTGTGTAAAAAGTTATAGATAATATTAATTATCTATAAAATATACATCAATAGTCACTACAAATTTGAATCTGAAATTCAAAATAACATATCAGTGTAAAATATACATGTGAACAAGTATTTTTCAGTGATAAAAGACACTATAGAGTGTGCACAGTATGCAGAAACTGATAAATCAAAGTAAGTGCCAAAGTTCACCACTGATATATTTTTTCAAATTCAAATCCGAACCCTAAAAATATCAAAGTAGATCGGTTTAAACCCTAACAAAATTCAAATTTTGAATCACAAAGGGATTTAGGTTAAAGATATTACGGATTTAAGACGTTAATTATCAAATAGAGAACACTGAACAAAGGCATGAAACCAAATGAGAAATCGGGCCATTTTGGAAAATGAAGTTAGAACAGAAGGAATCATAGTGATTGAGAAACGCAAAAGAAGAAATGTATAGATAGTCTTTGACAGAGAGAATAGAACTGAGAAATGGAAAAATACAACGTAGTTGCAAAGAAGCCATATCAACTTGAAAGATATAAGTTCTAACTTCACGGGATTAATTGAGAAATCGACAGAAAGGACTGAAATCTCATTCACGGGATTAATTGCCCAAAAGAAAAAAGAGCAAACATTTAATCAAGATAATTGTTTTATAACCTTTTCCGGAAATTAATATTACTAAAAAAATATAAGAGTTATTTTCTGTCAACAGTGAGAAAGAATATTTTGTGGCAAGATGAAACAGTGAAAAGGAAAAGGAATCCTTCATTTATTTCAGCACCTCAAACACAAGTATATAAATCCATGATCGCAGAGCTTGGAGTTCATAGAGAGAAAGGTAAACATGGATACCATAGGGAACCAAACTCGTCTTTGTGGCAAAGTCATGTTAATGTTATTGTGCACACTGATCTTCTTCAGCTGCAGTGCTGCTTCTACCAAGGGTATCAACTTCTTTCATACATATTTTCGTTATCGTTACTTAAGCTGTAAAATCATTAACAATTGTATTTTACTTCATCGTGTTTGTGATAGTAGCTAGTGAAAGTGAAGAAAGTTTGGTGTCATCAACGGGTAGGCCTAAGATGCTTATCGGATCAAGTCCACCAACCTGCATTTCCAGGTGTGACAATTGCACACCCTGCAAACCAATTGTTGTACCATTTCCACCTCCTGTTCTACTGCAAACCCACTCTACCTCTGAGCAACATAACACAGCCTTCCAGCGATCCGATGACTTTGGGCCTCAGGCTGTGATCTGGAAATGCACGTGTGGCGGCAAGCTGTACAATCCAGATCCATAGATTTATCATCATGTTCATGTATTCGTACTGGATATCGAATTTACATTTACATTAAGTGATATCTTCACATTTAAATGTTTGTAATCAGACTATAATTATTCTGTGCTTGGATTTTCTATTTGCTCTTCCATCGCTTGTTTCTTCTTCTGTCTTATGAATTCTTTTTGTCCCCAATGGGGATTTATTTCTTAGCCCTTTCAACCCGTTCTAAAGTGTAATATTAAAATGATCAAACTGGCACGTTAATTAAGCAACAGTTGTATGTATCTCTATATATTTTATGAAAAAAAAGACAATCACGCAAGCTTTTACATAGGCTAACACATAGTACTGAGTGGGAAACAAAGGAACACGGCAAAAAAATCAAATTGTCCCTGTCAAGTTTACATTGTGATAGCCACAAGTGCAATACCTAGTGGCACTAACTTTCCGTACATGGTGATCTTGCCGGTGCCGGAGCTTTGTCCGGTGGGTTAACCTGTGAGGAATCTGAAGAAGACGAGACATCTTTATCAGTTTTAGGTTGTGGAGCCAAGGAGGGAGGCTTTGCAGAAATTGTGATGAAAAAGATAAAGAAAAAAAGAGTATAACTTATTGCAGGAATTGTATTGGAACACGGATATGAGATCATAATCTTTTAAGTAATCTTTTAATTTATTCATAAACTTAGTACCTATGATTCTGAATAATTGCACATATTCCATTTATATCTGTTTAGTATAATTTTTGCTAAAAGATCTATCACCTTTTCTGTTTGAAAACAATCTCAGGTGCACATACAATTGAAACCACAGCATATGCTTCTTTATGACTAAAAGACTGTACAACTTTTTTCCAAGTGGTAGAGGATCAGACTCATCAATTATTTCACCACCTCAAACACAAGTACATGAAGACATTCTTGTGAATTTACATTAAAAAAACTCATGATGTTCCATCTTCCGATCGTGCTTGTAAAACAGATGACAGTCAAAGGGAAATAAAAAGTACTATATATTCTCTTCTACAGAAAAGTAGTGATTCCTCTAAATATTCTCTTTAATGGGATAGTACTGATTCCACCTTTTCAGGGAAGATTGCTCTATGACATCTCCAACATATATAACCAAAAGAAATTAACAATGTCTCTCTCAAAACACCCATAATTCAAAAATATTATTCTATCTTTTTCACACCTTCGTTCGTAAACACGACCAGAATGTTGTGTAATGCTGCCAACCACTGTCTAGTTAAAAACAGAGTGAAATTTAATACAATACTCACCGAGGAAATAATTTGAACATTTCTCCATTGTCCTTACATTCTCTCTCATGGCCAAAACTTTCCAGAAACGACTGAAATCTCATTCACAGGATTAATTACCAAAAGAAAAAAAGAGTAAACATTTAATCAATATAATTGTTTTAAACCTTTGCCGCAAATTAATATTATACTAAAAAATCTCGGACGTGTTTATAAGGTTATCTTTAATAAAAAAAATTACTAAGCTAGTACTTTGATAATATTAATTCTTTATTAAAACACATTTGGAATATTTCCTACGGAAAAAATTGCAGTAAAGGAATTTAGTAATACTTTTATAAATGTAATTATTATCATCAGGTAAGAATGATACTAAAAATTACTAGTAAAATAAAGCAATTAGTATTTATAAAATGCTATTAAATCATTCATAACATTATTTGGTTATAGGATTTTATAATATTATTTTTTATTTTTAATTAAGAGTGGGAAGTTGAGAATTTGGTTATATAAATACATGGTCGGAGAGTGAAGAAGAGAAGGCAACCTTGAATAATTTGGAGTTGTTAGAGAG